TAGGGATTGAAAATATTTACAAAATAAGTAACGCTTAAAATCAGCTCTAACGAAAATAGTAGGTTGGCACATGAATTTTAAAACAAATTTTTGAAAGAGATAAGTGGGGATAGTCTGTATTCTGATTCGCATATTCTGATTAAATTATATTCTTCAGCAAACGACTGATTACTTAGACCAGAGTCCTTACGAATGCCAGGAATTCAGAAACATAACTTATTTATACAGTGTGATTCTACATTATTGTCGGTGTTTCCGTGGCCTAAAATTTTCAAATAGCATAAAGAAAATAAAAATATTTCGAGAATATGAAACTGCCTTGAATGGACAACATTCCAAACCGTAGTTTATGATAACTGTAAAGAAACGTGTGTAGTTGATTTTTGCAGGCTTCGAGGAGGCGCTTCCTGGATTCGATCAACATCTTCCTGCGAAGTGTTCGGTCTTTCCACTCCTTTTCGGTGCAGAACACTATCAATCTCTTGAAACTGTTTTAACCAACGTCGGATAGCATCATCTGAAAGTGGATCTTTTCCATATTGAGCTCTGTAACGACGTTGCGTTTTGATAACGGACTTCGTTTCGAAAAACCAAATTATGCACATTGCTTTCTCTCGAATAGTCGCCATTTTGTGGTATGACGTCATATTTTCTCCCAAACATCAATGCGGCGAGTACAGCACTGCTAAACAAAACCTTTTGAGTTGCACTTTGATATTCTGTTAGCAGTTTTATTTTATTGTTTTCGGTTTGAAAATTATAGACCATGGAAACCCCTACAATAATTTATAAAGTTATTGCATTAACAACATAAGAAGTTCACTAGCCATAGTCTTGTGATATGCTCCGGGCAAATAACTGTATATGTGACATTGAAAACTGAACGTTATATATTTAGTTTTGGAAACAAAAAAAAAATAAAGAAGTAAAATACTTAATTTGTTTCCAGTATGTTACACATAACTGGTGGTTCATTAGTCGTAAATTCTTTTAGGCCGAAGTCAGGGGCAATTGTTATATCTTCCGTGTTGAATGCGCGAACTGTTTTTGTTTCTTTTCAAAACATTTAGATATTGTGTTACTCTGAGCAAGTATTGAATTCTGCCTAAATTAAACCTAATGAACCTTATGACGTATTCTAAATTTATAAACTTATATATTCTATCTATAGCACAAAACCGCTCTTCCTTCTTCCTTCCTGCTCCCCTCCCCCCCTCCCTCACATCTGATGACTGCAAGGAGAGGTATAAAGCACAAACTAAAAGGATCTGTGTCTACTGTTGCTTCGTTTCTAGGCAACCAAATGCACGTTGCAAGGCACAGAGCAATTTATCGCCATGCGGAGGTAAAAAAATAGAAAATTTGTGTATTGCGACACTGTTCTTTTTAGAATCTGAATTTAATAACAAGTAAAAATAATTCAATGTTTCTTTCTTGCAATTCGCAAATTTCCTTGTTTCATGTAAGAACTTAAAGTGTCCTGTTTTTATTTATGCGTATTATTCGCGAAATTTATGAAAGGTGAAAGTAGAGTTATTCCTGTAACAGGCAGTGGAAGCCCATAGGGTTGTGAGACGTCGAGGTTCTCACATTTTCTAGACAATCGACTCACAGATGACAGTAAGATTGCCAGCCTTAGGTGCCGGCCGCTTTTTACCCCCCAGGGAGATTCCTGGTACTATTTTCTGTTATAGGCTGAGTCGACCCCAGGGCCACAGTGTTGCTGGAAGGATTAGGTCGATTGAAAATTCAATGACATCAGGAATCGAACCCGCGACCTTCCATCTTGTAACAAAGTGCCTCAATCATTTTACGCTATGGCGTGCCCCATATTTTATGAAAGACAAATGTAAAATATTAATAAAACTATGGATACAAATATAAAATAATTGTGTATGTTGACTGAACTATTTAATTATTTCAATACATTTTGTGTTAGGAAAAACAGGGACAAAGGTCGATTACTTTAGCCAGTTCGAAAACGTAATTAATTGTAATAGCTACAAGGAGATCTTCATCGTGCTCATTCTTGTAAAACTGACGACATCGGTTCCTTCTAATTTCTTTCTTAACTTCAATAATTTATTTCTCCACACAATCTTCCAGTATCCGACCTCGATCATATTGGATAAGAAACAGAAGAATGACCCAGTTGCCTAGCTCTGATGCTTTTTCAAGCCCTTAAACAAATTAGAAGTTTAAATTAGAAACGGAACGCTTGAAAAGCCGAGCTTCTTAATCGAAACGGTACCATCTGAAAGACACTGTATCTCGTTCACTGTTTTAAAGGAAAAAGGAGGGAAAGAGATAAACATATGAAAGGATATGAAGAATTGAAGGAAAGTGCGAAGTGTAAAAATTCGAAAGAATTTTTCTTCAGATGAGTATCAAAGTATCTTCCAACAATATCCCCTGTATATTATTCAGTAAAATGGATTTCAGAAACGAATATGCAGACCCACTTAACTATAACTGATCAGCATCATGGCGATAAGTAACAGAACACTGCTCACCAGGAACATATATCCAATTTATAAGATTGTCACAATAAATTAGTAATTTAATCAGTTTAAGAGTACTTTCGGGAACTTATTTCTTGGTCATAAGTAGGGACAGGATTTTAATGCAACTGCATTGTGAGTGCGAATGTGAAATAAAATTCGCTACATCGAATCCACCGAGAATTTATTTGCCGCGATATACGCCCGATACGCGACAATAGTTTTTCACAGTTCTCCTTTGACTTATGCGAAGTCATTCAGCGGCAGATATTCCGCTGTGAAAACTAACCAGTTCTACTCTGAGAAACCTCGAAACTTCATAGAGAAGTATACACAGTGCAAAGTGCCAGATGAATCTACTGTGCGCAAAAATTATATGAAGCAGTGTTACGATCTTACACTTGAAAACATTACAGATAAGATTCAAGATAATATTGCGGGTGTCACTCGACGAAACACAACACTGTGAGGGACGGCTTATTGCAACATTGTAGTTGGATCCTTTAATAAAAATGAACAATCTACCCCATATCTTCTTGCGGTAGAGCAATTTGAAAACACAAATAGCTCCGCAGTTTTCGAATTTTTTATGGATTCCATGAATTTACTATGGTCGAATGGCATTCAGTATGAGCACGTATTGCTCTTTGTGACTGATGCCGCAAGTTACATGATTATATTAAATTAACTTAAATTTGATTTGTTTGTCTTAAAATAACGTAAAATCAATTCTTATATTTGGTATTAATTTTATAAGCAAATTTGGAAGCTTTTCATGCATAAATGCATACATATTTAAGGGACTATTATTATATAAAAATCCGGTCCTTAGTCATAAGTTCACAGAACATGGAAAACGTAATATAAAGATTGTCACACCCAATAAATTTCACTCCAGCAGGAGTATGTTTTAGTTTAAGAAATCACGGGGGAGAAAAGCGAGTGCTTTTGCTAGTGTAAAGTAATCCTATCACACACACGTCTTAAGAAACCACAAAGAGACATTAGCCCATTCAGCGCAAGGTACAGACTTACCGTCATGTGATATTCTCTTTTCCATATGTCCTAAACTCCGATTGTCACCACGCAATTTATCAGAGGATGAAATTGCAGTCCAAGAGAGATGTGGGTCGTATAACAGACACATGGAACTCTGAAATTAATATACGAGTAATATAAACTTTACTTTACTTTTCTTATTGCTAGTGGGATGGGACTAAGTCCCTTGTACTGCGGCCACTTCTGTACCAGCCCCATATGATAGGTGAGGGTGATTGTGGAGCAATTGTGGAATGAAGATTGGAAGGGGAAACCGAATTACTCGGAGAAAACCTGCCCCAGCGCCACTTTTTCCACCACAAATCCCACTTGACCAGAACAGGGTTCGAACCCGGGCCGCCGCGGTGGGAAGCCAGCGACTAACCGCTTGAGCTATGGCGTGGCCTTATATTGGAAACTTATATGAATAAATATTTGAAATATTTGAGCTTATCGCAACATATAACTGAGCATGTTATTTAGAATTCCTTCTGTGAAATACGTCCTTAATTGTATACTGTATATTTTCACATTCTTCTTTCAATATGATGGCTGATAGTGGCGATCTCTATTAAATTATGTCATGCTAATTTAAACGTGGCTTATATCGGACCAACATGATACCAATTTCATGAGAAGCTCAATTGTAATTTATTAGTTTTTTCGGAAACTACTCATCACGCAAAATACATAGCATTGGATAGATCTAATTAGGACCCCCCCCCCACTTTTCTTTAAAGCACATTCCAATGTGATGAGTATATTTTAACACAATTCTAGGTATTTTTGCTTTTTTCGTTGCTTTTCCAACGATACTTTCAGTATCAGAACTCTACAGCGTCGGATTTTGAATTTTAGATTTAAATCTGACAAAAAAAAAGTGTATATTTTTTTATCTGAAATATTCGAACATCAAGACCACTTAGATATCAAAGCAGCAAAGCTCATGTTTCAAAAAATATATGTTCTCCAAATTAATGTATATATATTCATTTTTTATTAAAAACTGACCATGACACATTAATTGCACGCACGTTTCTTGATAAAACGAGTTTCCTGGAAAGGCTTAAAAAAATTCCTTTTAGCGGACGGTGGTTTTTAATCCTTTCCTTGTTGCTTTTGATTTAAAGAAATCAGCTTATGTTAATATGGTAACATGGTATACGTAGACTTTAAAGCCACACATATTCAGCTAAACTACTGACAGAGAAATGTATACGTTATTTCATTGATCTTCACAAATGTAAAATAGACAAGTCTACTTTCATATGAGGTATCTTATACATAACATGGTTCTATACTTATAGATTAAATCTGTAGCTGAGCTCTGTGACTGAATGAGTCACACGTATTGGTGGTCCAGGCCAGAAAGGCCTATGTTTTCTAAATGAGATCTCTGACACAAAGCATGAAAAGTTAATCTTGCAGACAGATTACATCAGTTGCTGATTTCTGTGGCAGAATGAAGCACGTATGTGTGGTTCTCATCTGCGTCCTCACCGTTCTGTTGGCGTGCGCGTCGAGGCGAGTAGCAGCGGTCCCCCCTCCCCAGTGCAGCCCAAGTTTTCAGCAGGAGGATATCCCCTTGAGAGTGCGTAAGGTTTGCGCTGCATTGTCGACGTTTTACGAGCTCTCCAACGCAATGGAAGCCTACTTAGATGACAAAGGTAACAATTTATAGCTTTACAAATAAATTACTTTACCAAGAATAGCCTCATTTCATGCTTCACCAAACAAATTGTGATCCATTGTTTATTACTTTGTCTCAGCCTCAAAGCCTGCCTTCTTTTCTCAAATTGAAAGGTAATTGCGAATGAGGAAATTTGAAGAGTGTAGAGAGAAATATAACTTTAAGGCGCTATCACAACATTTGCCTGCAAGGACTAAGGAAAATCGTAAAAATCAGGACACCCAATCTTGTTATGGAAAACTGAACTCAGTACATGAAATAGGAACAGCTTAATAACAATTAAACTATGACGCAGGGCAGTAAGCTTAACATATCGGTGACGATCTAAACTTCCATTCTGGAGTTACACAGTTCGAACTCAGGGGTTATCATCTTTACTGAGGGAAGCTGTTTGTAACTTTCCTCGATCTCTTCATATGAACACCCGGAGAGAAAGTTCAAGCAGGCTATAGTTGCCTCCTTATAGGTCCTGTCCAAATTCGCAATCATCACCTCATTTGACGCCTATGAACCTCAAACAGCGTCGCTAGGAACCCAACAAATCATAAAACCTGATACTCCACGATTTAAAATTCCAACGACGAAGATTATTGTGCTCATTACGCAGTGTTTTTTTTGGGAATATCGCCAGATGATTGTCCCAATTTAATCGTTCTGTTTATGATGGAGGATGGAATATTTGTAAGAATAAATCTTCTTCAACATATGGACCATCATTCCTCAAAAAAATGGCGAACAATGCAAAGTTTCTCCTATGCACAATAAAACTCAAGACATAATGATGTCTGAGAGGGTACAGGTATGGCTTCATGCACTAACTTCGGCACTAGATTGAGGTGAGTTGTCAGCTTCTCCTTCCAGCCTTGTCTGGTCTGGTACACTACTTCTGGTCCTCGGCAGCACAGTCATTCTTGGTACCGAGTTCAGCGGGATTCATGACCATATTTACTCTACCCGTGTCCAGCCCCTTTACTCCCCGCGGCTGTCAGATGGTAGGCGGGATGGGCCTGAATATAATGGCGAAGATTAAGTTCCTGCTCCTGCCGGGAATAGAACCCAGATCATCCAGCCTGAAGTCAACTTACATGCTGTCTGAACTATCAATACTATTTTTATTGTTAGTGGGGTGGGACTAAGTCCCTTGCACTGTGGCCACTTCTGGCCTATTGTACCAGCCCCAGATGATAGGTGAGGCTGATTGTGGAGCAATTGGTGGAAGGGAGATTGGCAGGGGAAACCGAAGTACTCGGAGAAAACCTGCCCCAGCGCCACTTTGTCCACCACAAATCCCACTTGACCAGACCCGGGATCGAACCCGGGCCGCCGCGGTGGGAAGCCAGCGACTAACCGCTTGAGCTATGGCGCGGCCCATCCATACTAACTAACGGAACCAATGTTACGGAAGGCCCATAGGATGCGCAGTGACACACAGCGCACACATATGATCTGACTGCAATGCTTTATGTTGCAGTCGCGCGTGACAACAGTAACCCGCTAGTTGACGCCGGAGTTAAGCGGCAAGACGTCGACCACGTGTTCCTCAGGTTCGGTCGGAGGCGCTAAGCTGCTGGCTCTTTGTTGTGGAAGACTGCATCATGGGACTGAACTGTGTGTTTCACCTCTTCTCATCTACTTCCATCCGTAATACCATTTATACTTACTACGGCTACAGAGAGAAAATATAAAAATATTTCTATGGGGAACCAAGTACGCTTTTTGTTCGTTTTACTGTTTTCATAATTCGGCAGAGGTATCATATAATATATTCATGGAATAACAAAATTGTTATTATTCTAATTCTTATTTTGTGTTTGTTATAATGTGTAATTGTACATTTCAACTTCCTAGAAGATAATATTAAAATTATTTTCTAAATACTTTTTTTATTTTAAAGGTAAATTAGTTGGCCTATAGGCTAACAGAAAGTAAGATAACCCAGCTCTGAAGCAAATTCTCATGAGAGAAATTATGACGTCATATATCCAAATTATATTCAGTAGTTTTGGGGTGATTATTTCCTTCCTACTCGTGTACTTTTCTTCGGTATTGTACGCCATTTTGTAACAGTACTGCGGCAGGGATTTTCAATTTCACTCAACTATGAAGTGTTGGATGACAAGTTTTATTAAACTTTCAACGTAAATTTTGTCACCTTAATTCTGTATGAAAATTCTACAATTCTATATTCACTGTAATAATAATTAAACAAAAATTTATGTAGAATTTAATATTCTCTTATTAAAAATAATTTTAACACAGCTTATCAAATTTATAGTTTATATGCTATCTAAGACATAATTTGTTTCATACTCAAACATCTTTTGCCAAATTTGTCTCAGAGATAATTTTTGGAATCCTGAGATCCCTTCCTCAGTACTAAAAATTATGACAGTTGAATCCTTAATCCTATATGGAATTACAGGGACCAGTAAACAGAACCAGTGAAGGTTATTTATCTGGAGTCGACTCTTCAAATATATTGCACTTACTTAAAAATGTGATAAATCGTCCTATGCGATATCTGCAGCCTTCATCTTGAAATATTCTTATTTATGGCTCATCAAGTCATTCGTTAAGAAGCCTGAAAAGCATTCAGAGTGGATTCAAATATATCATCCTTACCCGAACTTATGTTCAACTTATGTTCCCTCTTAACATTGTTTTAAAACAAAACAAAAAATAAACAATATTATGATGTGTATGTACAATTAATGTGGAAACATTAATAATAATAAGAATAATAATAGTAATAAAGCATGTTCAATTTATTTTCTTGAAAATTGGTTCATATGTCTGTGATAATTAATTTCCCCATTGTTTTCCTTAATGTATTTAAATAAAATATTTTACTTTCCTCATTGTATTAAAATCAATTATTTATCAGAATACCTAAAGATGAGGAGAGGGGTGTTATCAATGCGTATTGAATTAGCCTGAAGAGCAGACTGGGTCAGATTTAATTTATATCTCCCCTTATGATGATTTATTACACATCAATTAATTCACTTTCCAGATAGAAGCCCAAGAAGTGAATAAACTTACAGAGGGTTTATAGTTACAATACTGCCACGAGAGGGAGTGACCATAGACGGGGTTTCGGATCATTGGATTTATTGACCACTTACAAGTCGTGACTACAAATAACTATAACACTGAAGAAAGCAGTCTTCTGGGATTTGGCACCGTGTATATATGGTGTTAACCGACGTTTCGGAGGAACGTATCGTCTCCATCTTCAGGGTAGAAGGAAAAATATAAGAAATCCGCAGGCGAAGAGACCGTGAGAACCGGTACAAGCAGACTGGTGTAGGAAATATACACAGCTATGTGAGAGCAGTGAAGGAAGGGGGAAGGGCAAGTCACATGTGAAATCAGTGGAGTAGGAGGGGGGGAAAGAGCTTCTACCCTGAAGATGGAGGCGATACGTACCTCCGAAACGTCGGTCAACACCACACATACACGGTACCAAATCCCAGAAGACTGCTTTCTTCATAGTCACCGCCGTGAAAACCTCAGATCTAAGTATAACACTATCGCTGATTCCCACACTATAAATCACTACACGCTAGAACTTCTCAGTCTTTCACAAGTCGTGTCCTGGTAACGAATCTTAACAGTGGAGATTGTTCAGCTTCTGTGGTCACGCCGTTGTTTATCGATTCGTTGCCTAGCAACGGTTGTTCCAGCTGGATCCACTACTTCGCTTTTTTCAGGTTCCATTCCATATTATTATTATTATTATTATTATTATTATTATTATTATTGACACTTGTTGTTGAGGTCAGCACGTAAATAAATAAAGAATTCAATTAACACTATCACTACGAACGTCACTACCACCCACCGCCACTATTGTTACTACTACTACTACTACTACTACTACTACTACTACTACTACTACTACTACTACTACTACTACTACTGACACTACTACAAATATACTTATTTTCACTGTCTACAGTAGGACGAACGAAAGGTTTGGACTACTTAGATGTAGGACGGTGCGTGCACAAACATTAATATCACAACTTAGACAATTTTGTGATCGTTCTATCGGTTGAACAGTATTGAACTCATGACCTTTACAATTTCCTAATATCGCATGGCCATTTAGTTCTTCCAATGTCATTTCTTCAATGGATTTGTAAGGCTTACGGTATGGATCTGTGAGCATCGACCTCGCTAGTACAGGTAGTTTGAAAGTACATGTTTCTATCTCAACTGGACGACCACTGGACTGTTACTCTCAACCCCATCTCTCACGGGACTTTCTTGCAAAGCTTGCAGTTCCTCAGCTACTCAATAATTTGCCAGTATTTGCGAAATACAATGATTAAATACCATACACTCTAAAAATCTCGCCAGTTCATTCTAGTGCAGCCCCTTGCACGTGTTTAATGCATGATTCTCTTTAATTCCTTCCCCCTATCTATAAAGAAATCACCCAAGTTGCCTCCTTCCTTAGGTTCCTAAATAAAATTTTGCTCAGAATACAGCCTATCACTAAAGGCGCATCACAGCTTCATTAAATATCAGTAAAAAGAGTACTAAGTGGGTAGGGAACGTAGTACGCATGAAAAGGATGAATTATTGTACAACATTTTGGTCAGAAATCGTGAAGGGAAGTAACACTTGCAAGACTTGGGAGTATATTTGAAGATAATATTAAAATGTACCTTAAAGACGTGAAAGCGTACGCCGTGGACTAGATGCATTTTGTTCATAACAGAGTCCCAGCGGAAGGCTCTCGTGAACACAGAAAATAAACTTCGTATTCCATATAAGGCGAGAAAATTTTTGATCACCATAACTACTGTTATGTTCTTAAGACGGACTCTGCTAAATGGAGTTTATCTGCTTTTAGATATTTATATATTTTACTAAATAAATTAAATTTATAATATAACGAGAAGTTCTGGGAACAACTAATCGACAATTTCCCTTTGATACGACAAGGACCACATAGAAAACGATGCATCCAATAATTCTATTGTTGTGCGTGTATTTGCTGCAGCGGTAACTTCTTTACCAAGCCGTTGCCTAGCAACGATATGGTATACACAGACACAGACTGAAGGAAGGGATTTATAAAGTACACCGTTGAGATGGGTTCAGTTACCATGATATACATACCAAGTTTCATAAAGATTGGTTCAGGCATTCAGACGTTCATGTGGGGCGGGATACACAGACACACAAACAGCAAGGTAACCTAATAAGCCTACTGCTATTGTTTCAAAATAAGAGAAGCAGGCTAAAAGGAAAATGAATATTTCGTAGGTCACATTACAATGTGCCTGAGCGAAGTCGAACTGCGGAGGGAATCCACATAGAAACTACGTACTTGCAAATTCATGTAACTTTCGATAATAAGTGCACATAATAAGATGGAAATTGAGACTCAATGGTCACGGAAAATTTCGTGATTCGCAGGAAATGCCTCCCGTGAAGCGTGACTACTCAGAATACAATACTCGGTGTATTTCCACTTCCTGAGCAGAGTGGTGCTTACTGCTGGCCTTTTAGGCAGTACAGTAGTGCTTGATTTTAACTTTAACTTTGACTGAGAACTAGATAGAGGTGAGTGGTCAGCTTCACACTCCCAGCCGTTCTATCCCCAAGGAAAGAGTCCACGGTGTCCATCGGACATGAGGCTGCATGAAACACAGGGTCAGTCTGGACGCTGTGGAGAAGAGAATAATCTCTTTTCCCTGACGGGAATTGAACCCGATTCCTCGAACCTCCGGCCCATAGCCTGTCGATACACTGGTACCGAGTGAATTGTACTGATGCTATTAAAATGTACTGATAAAATTCCTCTAAACATGAAGAAAAATCGTGGCTCGTTCTGTTGTATTGACACTGTATCTATATTGTGGCATGTAGGCCCGTTGCTAGGCAACAACAATGAAACAAGCAAATATACAACAGCCGTTGCTAGGTAATGGCTCTGCAACAGACACTAATGCAACAATTCCACAGCAACAAGAAGATTCAACAATAATGGGAAGCGGTGTTTTCTACTTGGGACAAGTTAGGAACTAGAGTTAGTGGGGAGTCAGTGAGGAGTTGGTTCGTGAGTGAGTAAGTTAGAGGCCTGCTGTAATTCAGTCGTTCTGAACTGTTGCTGTGAGAAGCTAGTAGCTGAGGTCAGTTGGGCCGAAATTCGAATCGTGCTTCATTAGGCGTTTACCACTCTGCTTATCTGACAGAGCCGGAATAGCGACTGGCTATGTGCAGGAATGAACAGGGGTTGGAGTTCGTCTCCCGGTAGAGTCAAGAATTCTCTCTCCCCCACGTGGTCAAGACCGCTATTGAGATCCACCCAGCCTCCTATCCAATGGGTACCGGGTGCTTTTTCTTCGCGGGTAAAGCGGCCGGGGCGTCAAGCTGATCACTCATCTCCAACCAATGCCAAATTCAAGAAAAATGTATCTATACATCCACCCTCCCATACGTCTTCATGGCGTACTACTTAATTAATTATTAGGGCCGCGCCATAGCTCAAGCGGTTAGTCACTGGCTTCCCACCACGGCGGCTCGGGTTCGATCCCGGGTCTGGTCAAGTGGAATTTGTAGTGAACAAAGTGGCTCTGGGGCAGGTTTTCTCCGAGTACTTCGGTTTCCCCTGCCAGTCTTCATTCCACCAATCGCTCCACAATCCCCCTCACCTATCATCTGGGGCTGGTACAATAGGCCAGAAGTGGCCGCAGTACAAGGGACTTAGTCCCAACCCACTAGCAATAAAAAATGAATTAATAACAGGGACAATTTTACCTTTTTACCTGTATGGCAGAGGAGATTCTACCAGTAGCTACACAACCGCCAGCATAAATTTTGGGGTTCCGTGTGTTTCAAGACGGATACTATAACATTTCGTAATACTAGCTACTGATAAAACACAACTCCCTCACGATCGCTCTAGACAGGCGCAGTGCCCTCCAACACAAGGTCACGCCCATGGGAACCTGAACAAAAACGTCTACAAACTACGATGGTAACGTATAATACAATACGAAATAAAATACATTACACTCATCCGACATACACACACCGATCGTAGTGGGGCATTCGACGAAGAATATAACACCCAGCACTCACCAGGATAAGTTCGCATCTGAGAAGAAAGAAAAGCTCTGGTCACAAATCGAAACAGAGAAAGAAGACGGCAAGCTACAGGCCACATAAACTACGCCATTTTGTATTCATCGAGTCAAATTAAGGGATATTAACTAATAAGAAATATCATAACCATATCTGACATTTTGGGGGCACGCGGTAGCGTACTTGGTTGAGGCACTATGCTACAAGACGGAAAGTCGCGGGATCGCATCCCGATGAGGTTGACTTTTTTCAATATACCTAATCCTTCCAGTCGCATTATGTCCCTGGGGTCAACTCAGTCTCTAACAGATATGAGTACCAGGAATATTCTTTGGGGTAAAGGGCGGCCGGCGCGTAAGGCTGACAACCTTACCATCATCTATGATTTCTAGAAAATTTAGGAGCCTCGACGTCTCACAACTCTATGGGCCTCCACGGCTTGTTACAGGGATAGCTGTACTTTTTACTTTACTTTACTTTACTTTACTTTACTTTACTTTATATCTTACATTTTAATATTCTTCAATTTCAACTGTATAACCCAGACACTGAACTAATACGTAAGTAAACGGCTGACACCAGGAATGCATCCATATGTAAATATTTACCAGCCAGTGAGGTAAATTACTGCTGTCCTCGCCAGCACAGTCATTCCTGGTTCCGA